AGAACCTCACATACAGTCAGAACCTCACATACAGTCAGAACCTCAGACACAGTCAGAACCGCTGCGGCCCAGCAGCAGAGGAATGTGGCTGAGCTGCAGAGAGAAAGAGATCCTATTGGACCGGTTCTGGAGGCCCTACAGAGCACAGAACCTACCCAGGGCCAGGGTCCGGATGTAGCCCTCGTTGTCTAGGATGAAGTTCAGACCTGCAGACGAGTTCATGACGGCGCGGACACAGGAAACACAGGTGAGCTGCAGCAGGGCGTCAGCCATGCGAGTGCATCCGCGTCCCGACAGCCGCTCAAGCGCCTCCATCAGCAGGTCCAGACCACGCAGCTCCAGGAACTGGACCATCCAGGAGCCGTCACTGCTCTCTAGACGGCGCCTTAACCCAGAGTAGTTGACCACCGTAGGGACCTGGAAGAGAGACACAGTGAGTGAAGTCCGTCCATCGGCACTCTGTTCCTAAGGAATCAGGTCGGGGTACCTGCAGCAGGAGGATACACAGTTCCGGGTTGGCGTTCTCCAGGTTGGCCTCCAGCGCACCGTCTGGATCGTCGCCGGGGCTCCTGGTTAGATGCTCCTTCACTGCCTCCCATTTGGTTCTGGATGCCATTATGATGGTAATCTGCAGAGACAGAGCAAAGCGGGTTATGGACCTGAGGCCGAAACATCTCAGGTGATATCAGCTGGAGAACATCGGAGGACAAAAGCAAGAAATCTACGACCACCATTTCGGCTCCAGTGACCCAAAATCTGGAGGCTGATCTGGCTCTGGTTCCACAGAGCCCCTCCAGACGTTCTGAGGAGCCACATCAAGCCCTGCTGCGGCCCGGCTCTAACAAAGCTGCAGCGGTTCAGAACCACAGAAACCTTCAACTGAGGATGAACCCGGCCTGAAGAACTGGGCCGTCCTCCTTCTCCCCCCTGCGGAGGTACCACCAGTCGCTGATTGGATTAGGACCTGGGGGGGGGGGGGTAGATCAGGAACCCCAGAACCAGAACAGCGGGTCTATGGGTTCTAAAGGAAGCCGTCATCCTCCCCGAGGGACCAGCTTGGCCTTCCTGTTATCTGCACCAAGTTTGGCTCTCTCTGCATCAATCAGCCTCAGAACCAACGTAGGAACTCAGGGACCCTGAGCCGAGAGAGGAAACCAGGAGGAACACCTGGACCCTGGCTGCTTCACTCAGTCTGAACCTGAAGTTCAGCTCTGAGGACTGAAACAGAAACAAATGGAAGGCAGAGTCCTGATGAGCAGCTGCCTGTCGGCCCAAAGGTTTCACAACTTCCTCTAACACTAAGATGAGAGATACAGAATTCCCCGGAGCGTCTGACATTCCCAGTGTAACCACGCCCGGTAGTGAAAGGGCCACCGTACAGGTTCATTACCGCTGCTGCCTGACAGAGATACATCTGAAACATTCAGAGGAACAAACTCTGAGCTACAACAGATCCATTTATTTATGCTTTTTAAACCAAGTGGAAAAAATTAGTTTGTTGGGTTCTGGTTCTGGTTCTGGATCAGCTGCTAAAACCCTGAGAGGTTCATATCTGAAGATCAAGTGATGGTAGAGCTTCGGCCCTCAGGGCCCCTCAGGGCCCCTCAGGGCCGTCAAAGACACTTCCAGGGAAACGAAGGTTTCTGCACAGATTTGTTGAAAAGGTTGTGAAATCCTGGATTCCTCAGAGCTGAGGTGTGTGTGGGGGGGGGCGCTGCATCAGATCTGCTGACGCAGCGCTGGATGGGTCCATTAGTCATCAATGGACAGACTTTAACTTCAGGGTCCAACCAGAGGTCCACCAGTCTGTCCACCACAATCTGTCCACCGCGGCCTGTCCATCACAGTCTGTCCATCACAATCTGTCCACCGCGGCCTGTCCATCACAGTCTGTCCATCACGGCCTCTCCTCCCCTGTTTGTCCATCACTGTCCCCCACACCTTGTTTCCTGTCCTGATCTTCCCTAACTGGACAGACATGGGGTCAAACTAAGGACAGATCTAAAGTCCATGTTTAACTGATCGGTTGATTGATCTGAAGACAGAGTCCAACTGGAGACAAAGAAGCTGAACAGTTTGGTTCCGATGGACCCAGCAGCTTAGAGGGAACCTTACCTGGACGCTCAGGTGGATCCGTTCAGGTTCGGCTCACAAACCGTTAAAACGGTTAAAATTAGAAACAAACGGACAGAAAGTTCGATCCGAACCGAACCAGCAGGTTTTGGTCCAAAGACTCCAGCAGCTGCTCCCTGCGGTCAGCTGGCTTCACTTTGCCCAAAAGAACCGATCCGAACCAACTGGACTCGGTTCCGTCCTGCGCGGAATGAAGCCGGTCTGTGGAAACTGCAGCGAGTTTACCTGAGTGGGCGTGGCCTCAGCTACGCGTGGCTGCTTCCACGGGACACGATGTGACAGCAGGACACGCAGTCAGTCAATAGATCCGATCGAAGCAAAGAGAACAGAAGTTTGCAGAGAAACAGGAAGGTTTGATCTCAGTCTGCATTTATTGGCTGGAAAGTTTAATTTTTCATTTTATATTAATAGACTGTGTGATTTTTCAACCCTGGTCCTGAAGCTTCCTGCTCTGCGTGTTTTAGATGTTTCACACACCTGTCATCAACAGATTATCAGGCTTTGCTGAACAGCAATCATCTGAATCAGGTTTGCTGAAGCTCAGAAACATCCAGAACACGCAGAGCTTCAGGACCAGGATGGAAAAACACTGTGATAAACAATCAATAACATTCTTCCAGTGGAATTCTCTCCACTTTAGTGAATTTGTAGAAGTCTGAAGCATCTCACAGATTTTAAACCATTCTTCATTTGAAACTGTGACCTTTGTTTCTGTGACATGCAGGGTTGTATTTTTTTACATGACATTAGGCTGGTGTTCAGCTGTGGGTTTATATGGACCAAACAATGTCTCCTGAACCGCATTAGGATCACTTCCAACTTTTCTTTATTATAATATTCTCTTAGTTGTAGGAATTAAAAGAAATCTCTATTATCAAGTCCGAATTTGAGTTTAAGATACTGAAAACTCCTCATATTTCTGTTATAAATTGATTTACATAGGGCTGTAAGCAGGGGCGGATTTAGGAAATTTGGGGCCCTAGGCAAAAACAGGCATGGGGCCCTCTGAATTGACCCATTATAGAGATA